GCAACTCAGCAGGATCACACTTTTCAGGACAGCAAGTCAATTCTACATCAATCTTCAATTCTACGAATCAATACAACAACAATCTTGAGATATGAGGCTCATTAAAGCCTTGTCTAACAATATCTAAGATTATTTCCCTGTTTCGCAGTCATTTAAACGTTCATTTTTACTAATACACACCGTTTTATGTCAGTCTCTTGTTGAGGCGCTCAGCCTGTTGTGCAGTGATGACATCACACGCGCTTCTTCTAACAACCACCCAATCACCCAGCCTGACCACACTACCCCCTACCGGTTACACAGAGAATTGCAGCCATTTCTAAAAACAGTATTTTATAGTCCACCTGGCTACACAAAACAAAGAGCAATTGAAACTATCACGTATGAAATTAAAAGTTTTAAGTCTACAAAAACTATTACGTATCGTGTTCGCCTGATAAGTTTACATCTTTGGATTGGTCGTCGCTGTCGTCTTCTCCACAGCAGATCAATGTTGTGGCAGAGCTCAGTGCACATAAATAATGATCTGTATAAGTATAAACGCTCACTGGTGTCGATGATGCGATCCATGACTGTTATTTTCCTTCCTGTGACATCCGTTTTGCAGTGTATGGCCTTGTTTTTATTTGGTGATAAATCCACACCGTCTGTCAGTGACGCGTCACGGGTTCACGTAAATGGTTTGAACGTGGGTTGTTCGCCGGTGAGCCATTTGTTTCTCAGTGTAACTTGTGCGGGAACCAGCACCGGCACCGTTCTGACCGACCCGAAAACAGCTTCAGAGTGTGAGATGGTTCATGTGGCACTAACACGTCACAGATGGACTTTGGTGCTCGGCCACGGAGAGACTTTTGTAGAAGCTTTAAAGTCTCTGAGGCACAGGGGGCAGTGCAGAGACCTGAGCACAGGACGCATGTGCTCGTACTTTCTGGTTTGAGTCAGGACCCGAGCTGCAGCGTTCTGGATGTTCTGCAGCGTCTCACAGCTCGTTTGGAGAGACCAGTGAGCAGAACATTACAGTATCTAACCTACTGGAGACAAACACATGGATACCTCTCTCCAAGTGTCTGATTTTGACAGTAAACCTTTGATTTTGGCAATATTTTTTAGGTGCTAAAAGGCTGCAGATGTTATTGACTTGATGTGGCTGTTAAAGTTCAAGTCTGAGTCCATTATTACCCTTTATTATTATTCAAAGTCCCCATTTTAGACCTGGTTTAAGACCTGGTTTAGACCTGCTTTCGTCCCAGTTCAGATTTTCACTGCAAACACCATAAAAGGTTCATATTTTGCAATTTTCTGATCTATGTTATAAAGTTATTTCCTCATCAAAAACACAACTCCAGGTTTGTTTTTGAGGAGGTAACAACATTCTGACATTTCTTAAAGCTTAAAGAGTCAAGTTTGCATAATATTGGACCTTTAAAAGACTTTTGATCAGAGCTATTTAACACAAAAACATAACATTTCTTCCTCGTAAGTTTGAACTCTGCTCCAAACCACATGTTTTTACGGACCTAAAATTCTATAAATGGCCCTTTTTTATAAATCATGTGTGTCACTAAAGACTCATTTTCCTCACAAAAGGGTAGACGGTCAGTGATTAGTCAAACTCGTGTTGCCTCAAATGTGGGAAACTGTGTGACTGGGTTGTGAAATCACTGCAGACCACAGGGAGAAGTA